CACTATTTCCGTTTGACTTTTTTCTCCACTTTAATAATTACTATTGGTGTCAAAGTTAAGTAGCTTAAGGGAATAAGGGAGAGATTTTTGGAGCTACTTTTTTTAGGATGTATCTTTTAAAAGGTCTAACCAAGAAAAAAGTCCCCCCTTCCATTAGAAAAAGATTTTTTATTTGACAATATACTAAGCTGTAAATGATCACTCTGAAAGTGATTTTTAGCTGTGGGTTTTCCTTTTATATCTAAGATATTGTATTTTATGTGATTGCAAATATATTTAATGCTGCTTATTCAAATATGCATGAGGTTGACATATTCTGAAAAGGACCAATTTTCTGACTTGGTCATTTTAGACCAAATTTAAATATGGATGTCTTAAAAATGAACAGCTGGGGTAGCATAAATTATCCAGATACTATAAAATGAAGGGAAAAAACCACAGCTAGTGAAGGAAATTAAAGTAATGAGAAGCAGGAAGAAATAACTACATCTCATAATTTTTATGACCTGGACTGTAAAAATGGTGTGAAATTCTGACATCCCTCTTGGGAAGTTCCAACCCTTGCATGCATGAATAGCAGCGCATCTCAACTGGCCATCTTTGAGGTTTTGAGCGCAGTTCAATTTTTTGGAATTTCCAGATGACTGCCACTAGTAGAGTGTCAATTTTTCTTATAGAAGCAAAAAAAATTGATAATAATTTTAATAATGGAGTTTGGTAGCAAGTTAGAATGCTTGCACGCCATACTGAAGTCTTGATTCAAGTTTAGTTCTGCTGTGGCTACTATTTCGCGTGCATCCCTTACTTCCTGCGCACTTGGGTTTAGGTCAGTGGTTCTCAAAGTCTCCTGTGCATCTGAATGACACAAAGAGCTTATAGAAACTGCAGGGCCAGTGGCAGAGTTTCTGAGTCAATAGGGATGGGATGGAGCCTGAGAACCTGCATTTCTAACAATTTCATAGATGCCGCTGATGGGTTTGGTCCTGAACTACATTTGGGCATCTGCTGGTCTAGGTGAGTTTCAGGAGAGTTATGTGATCCTGGCATAAGAAGACCAGGAATAGTTTAACATAATATTTGTTACAAAGACATGTCTTCATAAGAGTGGATTATGATTTCCCCCATATTTCCAAAATTGGACGTGGGGATTTTTAAATGTCGACAGTGGTGAATAACAAAGATTTTAAAAGAGCATACTCTTTTTCGTTTTTAAAATATTAATTGCTTTCCAAATGTCACCTGTATTTTTAATAATTAGTAGTAGTTGATTAAACAAATGCTGTTCATTTTCACATGCTAATATTTAAGGTATTTATACGCACATGTAGCTAGAACTTAAGTTATTTGATCCATGCTCTGAATATTTCTTTTTCATAAAAGTTAGTAGTACACACCATTCCCTGTTCATGTCCGAGATCCCTAAGATGATATATTAGCCAGATCTTGGGGACAGATTGCTTACACCACCTTGCCTCAACTTGCTTCATACTTCCCTTCACACCTACAAACCAGTGCTTCCCTGGTTTGGAGTCCAATCAAATGTAAACAATTCCTCGGATAGAATTTCAAAGAGGTGAATTCCAGAGTACCTGCCAAGTATGGTAGTCAGTAATCTGGTCCGCCCAGATTTACTGTGTGCCCATTACATGACAAGCATTTCTACCCCTGTAACTCACTTAATCCTCACAATAAATTTATTACTCCAGTTTCATAGTAAGGAACGGGACTTAGCCCAAAGAAATGATTTGCTGAAGTAACAACAGAGAGAAAGAAGCACTTCCAGGGTCTGAGCCTGAACCTTCTGATGCCTGGTTGAGGAATCTTGCTACAACTTTGTTTCTATTTTTAAAAGAAATCACAGGGAGATCAGCTCGGTGCTTTGTGCCTACCTGCAGGGGTGGGATAGGGAGGGTGGGAGGGAGACAAAAGAGGGAGAGGATATGGGGATATATGTGTATGTATAGCTGATTCACTTTGTTATACAGCAGAAACTAACACACCATTGTAAAGCAATTATACTCCAATAAAGATGTTAAAAAAAAAAAAACAGTATGGCCGACTTAAAAATTGCTTCAAAATTTAAAAGGCTAGATCTCATGTTAAGTGTCCTTACCATAATAAAATTAAAAAAATTTAAAGTATAATGTTGGTATTTAGTATACATTAAGTGCTTAATAAATATTAGTTCCTTGTCCAAAAAAAAAAGAAAAAGAAATCAAAGAAGGTAAGGGAAAGTTGTTTCTGTTGCGATTACTGTCATAAACTACTCACAACTACTAATTTTATATGGACAGATTTAGAGTGCTAGATGGGAGAAACTGATTCCAGCTTGGGATGAAATTGTTTTTCTAGATTTCTGTTTTAGCCAATGACAGGGATAAGGAAGCTTTTTGCCTTTTAAAAACTCTAAACCTTTTGCAGAGCTGTTAAGTTACGAACACTTTTCTTGTTGAAAATGCACATGTACACAAATACACAACATTTCATAGTTTTCAGGGGATTTACAGACCCCGCACCATGCCTGAAGATTTTCTTGATTCTCAGAGTCCACTGACCATAAGATAAAAACCACCCTTCTGGGCAACTCAGCCCAAGGGTGGGGTAGGTGTGGCAGGAATGTTTTTACAGCTACTTGGAAATTAAAAGCAACTCCTTTCATTTTTTCTTTGGAAGTAAAGGTGTTAAAATCTGTATAATGAGCAGCTTATAAACTTAATGGAGTGAGGTAAATAATAATTAAAATCTAATTTATGAATACTGAGGTGGATTTGATTTGAAAAAGAATGGAGGACAAGAGAAGGATGAAAATAAGGGGAGTTGAGAGAGAGTAAAGGAAGGAATGCGGGTGGGCAGCTAGAGAGGAGGAATAGAAGGGGAGACACGTGGAAATGATGGGGCAGAGAGGGAGAGGCTGGTCACAGACCTGCAGAGAGTGGAAAACACTGCAGGAAGGGGAGGGAAAGAAGAAACAGTTACGGAGGATGCATCTCCAACCTGATTTTGCTTCCCATTAAGTACTGTTTCCACAAGAGTCATGCCCATGCTTGTCATCAGAATTCAGTTCTAAGTTTGAAGAAATAGACCTGAATGTCTTTCCTAGTGTTATATTCTCTCTATTAAAATCCACCAGGATTCAGAGTAATGAACATCCTTCAGGACCAAATATAGAAATCTGCATAATTTATCTCCCCCCGCAAATAAACTACAGTTACATTTTCAGGAGATGGGGGAAAGCTTACCCACCTCCTAAATAACTATCCCTGAATCAAGAGGACACATACACACACATACCCCTACATACACACATAACTACAAAATCAAGAGTGTAGAAAAATATCACTTCTTCAAATAACAGCTGCTGTTTCAATAAGATAAATAAAGAGACAAATCATGGTTGCTCCTGGAAATATTTAAGTTAAAAGACAGACCTTCCTAAGGTCATGCAGGTGGGACTCTTTGAGTCACTGTGAGTTAATACTAATGTCTGTGGGAAAAGCAAATGTAATACCAACTGTGTCAAGCGTGGCTGCAGCCTGCCCTCCCTCTGTCTGAGGTCCTTGCACTTAACTTTGAGCTGCTCTCTGCAGGAGGAGGGCTCCATTTCCCCTGCTGGAACAGGGCTGGCCTTGTGACGTGCTTTGGGAGGGATGTGGCAGAAGGACCAGTGTCCCCAGCTGTCTCAGCCCAGGTTGCAGGCACGGGGACAGAGCCAACCCACAGAGGCCTGCAGAGGCATCGAGAAAGCGTAGCAGAGGCAAGAAGACCGTGTAGCTGATCTCAGCTGAGCCCAGCTGGGATTGCTGCCCCACAGAATCTGAGCTAATACATAGGAAAGAATGGATTTTTTTTTTTTAAAAAACAGAAGTATAGTTGATTTACAATGTTGTGTTAATTTCCAGTGTACAGCAAAGTGATTCAATTGTACATATATATGTCATAGTAAGTAAATATATATATATTTTCTTTTACAGATTCTTTTCCATTATAGTTTATTACAAGATAAAGAATATATTCTCTGTGCTGAACTCTACTCAATACACTGTAATGGCCTATATGGGAAAAGAATCTAAAAAAGAGTGAATATATGTATATGTACACCTGATTCACTTTGCTGTACAGCAGAAACTAACACAACATTGTAAAGAAACTATACTCCAATAAAAATTAATTAAAAAAAAGAATATATTCCCTGTGCTATACCTAGGTCCTTGTCGCATATCTATATAGTGGTGTGTACGTGTTAATCCCAAACTCCTAATTTATCCCTCCTACAACCCTTTTCCCTTCGGTAACCATAAGTTTGTTTTCTATACCTGTGATTCTGTTTCTGTTTTGTAAATAGGTCATTTGTGTCATATTTTAGAATCCACATGTAAGTGATATCATGTGATATTTGTCTTTGTCTGACTTACTTCACTTAGTACGATCATCTCTAGGTCCATCCGTGTTGCCACAAATGGCATTATTTCATTGTTTCTTATAGCTTAGTAGTATTCCACTGTGTATATATTATGTATACACACACACAAACATATATATGTATAAAACCGCATCTTCTTTATAAGAATGGATATGTTAAGCTAATAAAATAAATGTAAGATTTCCTTAAGTGCCATATATATATATATATATATATATATTTTTTTTTTTTTTTTTTTTTTTTTTAAAAAATTTTTTTTTTGTCGTACGCGGGCCTCTCACTGTTGTGGCCTCTCCCGTTGCGGAGCACAGGCTCAGCGGCCACGGCTCACAGGCCCAGATGCTCCGTGGCATGTGGGATCCTCCCGGACCCGGGCACGAACCCGTGTCCCCTGCATCGGCAGGCGGACTCTCAACCACTGCGCCACCAGGGAAGCCCAAGTGCCATATATTTTGTATTTCAACTTCATTTTCTCATTTCTCTCTGTACCGAGAGGTCTCAGCAACTTGACCCTGGTCCTCTGTCCCCTGGTGCTACTGTGACCCGACCCCCGTCCAGCTGTGACTCGGGGCACGCTCACCACAGTTGTCCTCGTCCTCCTGGTTTCCACAGTCGTCCACGCCATTACAGTGGAGCAGCTGAGGCAAGCATTTGGTGGTGTTGCCGCACGGGAAGTAGCCCAGGGCGCATGAGACATCCTGCCCGCTCCCGGGAGCAACTGCGAGGAGGGAGGGGAGAGAGGTTTACCCAAGGCACTGCAAAGCGCGGTTTCCCCACGTTGCACAGACCTTCCTTCTTGTCAGCCTGGCAGGCACCACCGTCCGTATGCAGCCTCACCCTGCGCACCAGCCTGACGCCAACTATTTTCCAAGAACCTCCACCCCTAAAGGATGTTCTTTTCTGTGTCCTCAGAAGGTGCCAGGATTCTCTGCTCTTTGCTTTTTCTCATGTCTCCCACCTGGAATGTCCTCACCATCCCTCTTTTTCTATGAAATGTCTGCCCATACTTTACAGTTGAGCTCAATTCCCCTCTTCTCTTTCAAAAATATTTCATCCAATCATTTTAAAAAATCAAGACTTTCTTGCATTGTTACCATTGGCTTAGAATTACTGCTGGTCTGATACTGGGGGAAGAGGAGGGGTGGTAACAGGAAAGCACAGCCCATGCTCACTCATGTCGGGGGTAGTTCCCGAGGGCAAGGTCCTGCGCAAGACACTGTGCTATAGCATCAAATAAAATAGTTCCCGACCTTTTCACATTGGCTTCCTTTACTAAGTAATATGCATTTAAGGTTCCTCCAGGTCATTTCATGGCTTAGTAATTCACTTCTTTTTAGTACTAAATAATATTCCTTTGTCTGAAGGTACCACAGTTTATCCATTCACCTAAGGAAAGAACATCTTGGTTGTGTGCAAGTTTTGGCAATTTTTAATAAAGCTCCTATTAACATCTATGTGCAGGTTTTTGTGTGGAGGGACATAAATTAACTGTGCCATTTAAAACCTCAGATTTATAGGATTTCAAAGATTATTGTAGAATCCAAGATAATTCTGTTGCTTATTATCTTTACTAAGTTTGTAAATCATTGAGACCTTATAGAATAGTAATAATAGTCAATTATAAAGAAAAAAACAGAATAGTTTGAACAGTCAATAAAGCTTATTGTGTAAAAACGTATTTGTGGTCTATCATCAAAACATGAAAAGAATAAAAGTGACTATTTCCTTGGTAACATACAGTGGAACATTTTGATCACAAGGCAGGTGACATTCTCCTAGGGGAGAAATCCATCTATGTCAGGTTTTGACTGTCCTTACTTGTTTCAGAGAACATCATTTGATAAAGGAAATAGTCAAATCTATTTAATAATGAGCTTTTTACACATAGTGTTCTCACTCATGAAATTATTTAAAAATTGTTTATCAATCTCTTCTCAACAAATTGATTAGAACAGAGTCAAGACACAGGATTTGTATACCACAGGATGTCATTGGCAGAACATCACACATTTCAGAGACCTTCAGTGTACATATAGATACCATATAAATACATCGATCTGTGTTGAGACTGTTTTATGTATTTATTAATTTTTTAAGAACCAATTTTTAAAATCAAGGGTTTCAGAAAAATTCTTTGATGAATTGTCAGGCTTCAGTCACAGAGACTGTTTGAAGGCATTTTAACTAAACATACCTGCCTGTGTTTTCATCCTGTTGTTTTGAAAATTCTTCTCTGACTTACTTTTATGAATATTGTGCTTTTATGTCCTGTCTTTAAAATTTATATTTAGAAGCAGGTATAGTTCTTTTAAAAAAAAATTATTTATTTAATTTTTTGGCTGCCTTGGGTCTTTATTGCTGCGTGTGGACTTTTCTCTCTAGTTGTGGCGGGCAGGGGGCTACTCTTCGTTGCAGTGTGTGGGCTTCTCATTGTGGTGGCTTCTCTTGTTGCGGAGCATGGGGTCTAGGCATGTGGGCTCAGTAGTTGTGGCTCGTGGGCCCCTAGTGTGCATGGGCTTTAGTAGTTGTGGCACATGGGCTCAGTAGTTGTGACTCGTGGGCTCTAGAGTGCAGGCTCAGTAGCTGTGGTGCACGGGCTTAGTTGCTCCACGACATGCGGGATCTTCCTGGACCAGGGCTCGAACCCGTGTCCCCTGCATTGGCAGATGGATACTTAACTACTGCACCACCAGGGAAGACCCAGAAACAGGTATAGTTCTTTAATGATAGTGTCATGAAATTAGTCCTACATTTTCAAATATTATGATTCAATAAATAAATTTGGAATCTTAGAGATATTTTTAAAATAACTTTTTTATTTTGAGATGATCTCAAACTTAAAGAGAAGTTGCAAATATATTGTTAAGAACATTTTTCCCCTCTGAACAATTTGAGAGTAAGTTCCTGACCATGCTCCATCCCCCTAAAAACTTTGGTGTGTATTTCCTATAAGAAAGGACATTCTCCTACTAGAAGGACATTCTCCACACTAGAACCATCAAAATTAGAAAATGAACATTGATCCCTTACTGCCATTTAAATCTCAGAACACATTCACATTTCATATATTGACCAAAAAATGTGCTTCATAGTGAAAGGATCTAGTTCACAGTCATTCCTTGAATTTTGTTGTCACAGTCCTTTAGTTTCCTTTGATCTGAAAGCATTTCTCAGTCTTTCCTTATCGTGAATTATTTTTTAGAGTGGTCCTGAATTTTGGTTTATTTCATCATAAGTAGATTTAGGTTAGGCACCTTCGGCAAGAAATTCACAGAAGAGATGCTCATGTCAACCTGTCAGGTAGTGCAAGATCTGCTTTGTCCCATTCCTGGTGATGATCACTTCGGTCACTGCATCCAGGTAATGTCTCCCACAGTTCTCCACTGTACAGTTAGCCTTTGTGATTAATAAGCGTTTTGTAGAAGGGGTCTTTGAAGCTGTGTAAAAGTCCCTTCTCCAGGTGAAGGTATTCCCCTGCTCTCTCCTGAATCAGGAGGGGAACAGCCCTTATCACTAGGGAAGGAAAGTTGCCACCGAGATGAGTCTGCGCAAGCAACCTACTAAAACAGGCCTCTCTTCCACTGGTTTTCCCATGGGTTTACCTGCCCACAACTTACCACCTATAGAAGCCCAATCGCCCCCTTCCCTCTCTTGTCACTTTCCCACAATTTCTTCTCTGTGTCTTACCACCAACAGATTCTTGCCTTCTCAGTTTGCATGATATACTCTTGCACTTTCATATTAAAATAGAAAAAAATATCCTGTTGTGTTGTTAATACGCAAATCGTGAGAGTGGAACTCATGGCCACTTGTTTTCATATTGAATATGTAATTGGTACAATATATAGTCTTTCTCAGATTCTTTTCCATTATAGGTTATTACAAGATTGAGTACAGTTACCTGTGCTATACAGTAGGACCTTGTTGTTTACCTGTTTAATATATAGTAGGGTATATATGTTGATCCCAAACTCCTAATGTATCCCTCCCCCACTTCTTTCCCCTAACCATGTTTGTTTTCTGTGTCTCTTTCTGTTTTGTAAATAAGTTCATTTGTATCATTTTTTAAGATTCCACATATAAGTGATATCACATGGTATTTGTCTTTCTCTGTCTGACTTACTTCATTTAGTATGATAATCTCTAGCTCCATCCATGTTGCTGCAAATGGCATTATTTTTCTTATTTATGGCTGAGTAATATTCCATTGTATATATGTACCACTTCTTCTTTATCCGTTCCTCTGTTGATACACTTAGGTCGCTTCTGTATCTTGACTATTGTAAATAATGCAGCTATAAAGATTGGGGTGCCTGTATCTTCTCAAATTAGTGTTTTCATTTTCTTCAGATAGATACCCAGGAGCAGAACTGCTGGGTCATATGGTAGCTCTATTTTTAGTTTTTTGAGAAAACTTCATACTGTTTTCCACAGTTGCTGTACCAATTTACATTCCCACCAACAGTGGAGGAGGGTTCTCTTTTCTCCAAATCCTCACCAATGCTTGTTATTTGTGTTCTTTTTGATGATGGCCATTCTGACAGGTGTGAGGTGATATCTCATTGTGGTTTTGATTTGCCTTTCCCTGATGATAAGTGATGTTGAGCATCTCTTCATGTGCTTGTTGACCATCTGTATGCCTTCTTTGGAAAAATGTCTATTTAGGTTTTCTGCCCATTTATTAATCTGGTTCTTTGTTATTTTGATATTGAATTGTATGAGCTGTTTATATATTTTGGATATTAACCCTTTACTGGTCATATCATTTGTAAATGTTTTCTCTCAATCAGTAGGTTGTCTTTTCATTTTGTTAATGGTTTCCTTTGCTGTGCAAAAGCTGTTAAGTTTAATTAGGTCCCATTTGTCTACTTTTACTTTTGTTACCTTTGCCTGAGGAGACAGTTCCAAAAAAATATTGCTACGATTTAGGTCAAAGTGTATTCTGCCTATATTTTCTTCTAAGAGTTTTATGGTTTCCAGTCTAACATTTACGTCTTTAATCCATTTTGAGTTTATTTTTGTGTATGGTGTGAAAGAGTATATATCTTTTGTGGCTGCATAGCAACCAAGACAGTTTGGTCCAGTTCTATTATTTTTCTGTAGTTATTAAGAAAAGAATAAAGAATGGCTTTTCAAAATATAAACTTATAATATTGGAGCTGCTCTGTTAAGCCATACATTCCTTACTCTATCTATCCCTCAATCCTGATAAGCTACTCTTCACTGAGAATCTCTGTTTAGATGGTTCTATGTTGTTTGGCTCTAAATAAGGAAGATTCAGTGATTTCTGGATGTGAAGCCTAAACGGGGTAAGCGAACACTTTTACATCTCTCCATTTATGTTAGTGTTGGGTGTGTGTGAATTTGCAAACACGCACACACCAGGCATCAAAGCACGAAGGAAGAGAACAGCAGGAGGACAATGAATGGCTTCATTTGAATCATTGTTTTTTTCTTTTTTGCTTATTTTTAAATTAAGTTTGTTTAGTCTTAAATGTGATAGCAAGCTCTTTTAGATAAGGAGTGAATAGATGAGACAGAAAAGTTTAAGAATATGGGATTTAGTGCAAATGTTGCTAAGCTTACCTCACAGGGAAAATACATGGCTTAGGAGTAGATGCATTTCTGAATAAGTTTTTTTTTCTTTTTTTTGCACTGGGTAGTTTTATTTTACAGAGAGGGTAAGGGTTAGGTGGTGTCAAGAAGAGTGACATGGAG